GTAATCCTACTCATCCCCTATTCCCTGGTATTCCCAGTTTATTTGGCAGTAGCATGTCCAGCGCCCATCTTGCTGCAGAGGACTCCGGCAAGATCCTTTGCTTTGTATCCTGCTTGGCTGCTGGTGTGGCTTTCTGGAAGTGGTTTACTGGATAACTTTTTTGATGTGTTTTCTTTTGTGGAATGCATGTTCTGTTCTTGTTTCTGCGTAGACTTGTCAGCCATGGTCTGTGCGGTGCATTGATTTGCACAAAGGCTGGTAGTGGCCATAAGGGCTTTTCAGGTTTTAAATGCCAAGACTGTAATGAATGTAACTGTAGTTCAGCAGCACATCCTGGGCACTATGCTGGCAGCTGTCTGCTCTATTTTTTTTGGTGCTAATTAGCACTCCAGGGACAAATTATCCATGGCATTAAAATGCCCAGGAGTGGAGGAGCTAAAAGATGGAAGTGGACGCGTGCTTTTGACTGACCAGCCATAGGCAATAGACTGGCATCAAACAGCTTCTGTTCTTGGAATCTTACCATCTGGGTGGTTCTTTCACTTCTGTCCACAAATTTCACTGGAAAAAATGGGAAACACCATGAATTCCTCAAAGGCTGCACATTTAGGGGTGTTTTACCTGAGAACTGAACGTCTCTCCCTATCTCTGCATTCTCTACATGGACTTTTGCTGGGTTGGAGACCCTGTAATTAGGCTGGGGTTTGCAGAAGATTTTGGATTTGTAGTTCAAACCCTGTATTTTGCAGGATTGCATTTCAAATGATGTGGCTAACAGTGAGTCTAACAAACTCACTGTTGGTGAGTCAACCTAGGGTGCTTTCTTGATAGTTCTTGGTTTTCTTCTTTCCTCCATATCATTGTCTCTTCCTTTCTTTGGGATTTAAAGACAAACAAAACACCCACCATGAGAGAAGCTTTCATTTCCCTTGCTGCAAGGTGAGGGCATGACCCCCAGTGGAGCTCAAGGTAGAGGTGAAGCTGCGGAGAGGCTGGTGGCAACCCTTCCCTCCCGCAGCTCTTGGAGAGTGAGCAGCAGATGCTGGCTCTTCTCAGCCTGGTGCTGTGTGTCCCCTTGCTGTGAAAGGTGTCATCCAGGCCTGCAGGTTACAGACTTGGAGATGCTGGTTCCTTCTGCATAATTGCTAGCTTGGCTTTTTGAGGTCAGAGTGGGCTGTGTTTTGCTTTGTGCTAATGTCTCGGGGCAGACTCTGATCTATTGTACAAAGATAAGCAGAAATCAGGAAAGGGCTTTAAACCCTAAAGCATCATCTCATGCCTGGGATGTCTGAAACTGGCTCCCAGGGCTGGCAACGTAAGCATTTGGCCTATTTAGGATCCAAACAAACCTTCCTGGAAGAATATCTCTGTCGTAATACATTGCATGCAGGAAAATACCAGCAGAGAAGCTGAAGGAAATTGCCGGACACGAGTTACAGAGAGACCGCCCAGCGTCCTTGGCCAAAATCTGCCCCTGCCTGTACAAATCTGGCTTGCTGTGAGCAGCTTTTGGAGCTGGCTGGCTGCTATGAGGGGCTGTGATGCTGCCATGTGCCTGATGGCAGACAGCTGCCGTTCCCAGGGAGGCTGCTGGGAAAGTGGCTGTAGCCTGGTGTCGGGGCTGGAGGACAAGCAGATGGAGAGAAAGGGAAGGTGGAGAAATGGGCAGAAGCTCCTTGTATTTCCAAAGCTCTTGCAATGACAAATGTGACTTGCTGAGCTCAGTTCAGGAGTGCCCACACCAGCCGGTGTGCATCTCCCTCCAGCTTGTATGGTAGAAACACTACAGACTCGGTTTGGGTTCAGAGGGGCCATGGGCAACTCAGGAGGGGATGAGCTGTCCAGCCTGTCCAAGTATTGATCCTCTCAAAGGCAGCTGTGTGGGGCAACCAGTCTCCTCTCCACACTACAGTGAGCCATGCTGGAGGAGATTAATTTTCCTAAATCTCCTACTGACCTCATGGTCTCGGGTCCCCGTCCTACTTCAGCTTCTTCTGCCATCCTGTGGGGTTGTGGGGCATTTTGGTCCCTTCTGGGAAGTGCTGTGAGTGCACTCAGTTGTAGCAGTGACATTATCACAGAGCCACAGAAAGTACAGGGTTCATGCCCACACCATCCCTGTGGCATCCCTGCCTGTGTGAGCTTGCTGTTCCATGTTCTTGCATTATGAGTTCGTGATGTCCTGAGCTGACTTCTCCTTGGAGATGGTGGTCTCGCTTCTGCTGGTGTGACCGAGCGGTGTGACCTCCCTATGCCGGCTGGCCTGGTGGGACATGGGACAGTGCAGTGCTCCTCTCCCTTTGGGGTGGAAGCCCACCTCGTGCAGCTCATGGGATCCCCTCCCGCCCCAAGCTGCATCCCCTGCTAGAATGGATGAGGAAATGGAGATGGCTATGGGTATGGAATGGGTAAACACTCTCATTTGGGACAGTCCAAAGTGGTGGAGAAAGGCAGCAGCTAATTCTGTAACGGACGTCTTCAAAGACTGAACGTCAGGCAGGGTGTACACAGGCTCATATCTAGAAAGGAAGCGATCGCTGGGAGTTGCTGGGTTGCTTACCCACTAGTCGTAGGAGTAACGAAAGAAGTCAGGCTGCCACAGTGAACACGTGGGCTGCGGTCGCTCCCCCACCTACAGCTTGCAGCCCGGTTTGCAAAACCATGTCCTCCAGCTCAGCATCCAGCACGCCTGCATGCCTTAGCAAGCCTGGGAGGGGATGAGAGGTGGCGGCATCGCTGCCGGGGTGGCTCCCCCGAGGGCAGGTTGGTTCAGACTTCTCAGTGGGAGATGGCGCCATGGGGGACTGGGGCATGCTCTGCTCCCAGGTTTTTTCAGGTGCCTGCAGGGCCCCAGCATCCTGGAAGGGCTGAGCTGGCCGGGACCCTGCCAGTAGGAAGCGTGCAATCACTGACCTCCAAGGGAAGCCCCACCTCTTCTCACAATATTTGCTTCCCCTCCTTGGACCTCTCCCAATGCCGTAAGTGCAGAGCAAACACAGTGGGGCACTTCTTGCTCCGATTCGGAAGTGCTGTGCTTTAGCCCGTGCTTGCTCTGCTCTGCATCTCTTCCCTGCCCGGCTCTGCGTGCCCTCCTCTGGGCATCTGGTGGCAACTTGGTAGGAAACAAACCAACCTGAGCAAAAGAAAACCCCTAACTTCTCCTGAAACCAGCATGAGCTGCTGTCTTGCATTTGGGCAGCGAGCCTAGGTGGAAATGGTTTTGTCCCCTGTGGTAAAGACAGAGCTGTCCATGCCAACTCATGAGAATGCAGCAAATCTTCAAAACCCAGTAGAGACTCAGGGGGGTGCCTTATTTTCCTCCCTCCATTGTATGGTTTTCCCCTTATTCCTTCCCCCTTTCCCCGGCCTGTTCCTTGGTACACAGTTACACTATCACCTAAGCTATATAAAACTGTTCAGTGGAGCTTGTGGTGTTTATACTAGGAATTAATCCTCCTGTAAGCTCCTGCATAGGTTTTCCAAACACAGATATGTAAACTACAGAGCAGTAAGAAAGGTCACAACCAGAGCTTGCCCAGCTCCTCCGGTGATAACATCCACAGTGGGACTTTCTTCCCTGGGGGAGAGGCAGCCCGGAGTGGGTGTGATGGAAGGAAAATGGGTAATGAACTGAAATCACACCGTGGGGGCTGTCCTGTGTCAGTGGGGAGCAGAGTGGGTGAGCTATAGGGATTTCTCCTGTCCCTTCATCTGCTGATTCAATGCACTTCTGGGAATGGCGGGGAGCTCCTGAGTCAACAGTTCCCGTCTTGCCCCCTCTGTCAGTGTGTGACACATCTCACAGTGAAGCCCTGCGTGCAGACTGTCTCGCAAATGCCCTTTTGGTGTTTTGTTGCAAACTTCTAATTTTTGCAACAATTTGTGCAAATTGCATTTGCAAAGCGCAAACTTGCCCTGGCAGTTTTGGGGGAAGCCAATGGACAGTGCTGGGTGGATGATGCTGAAACGGTCCTCCATGGGAGCGGCTTCGAGGCTCGCCTGGCACGGCCTGCTTATAGATGCTTGCTTTTAGCCAAGCCTTTCATCAGCTGCCTTTTCCCCATGTGGGATGGGAGCACAAGAGGAGTGGGGTGGTAAGAAACGTGTCTGCAAATGCTTCCCGTCCAGCATTAATAGCCTTTTGCTGGTGTGTGGCACCTACAGGCAGGGCAGCCCCTGTGTGGCTGTTGGTGACCCCTTCCTAGGCAGTGAGAGCTGCTTGGGGGAAGGGTGTTTGGGGCAGGGGGAGGAGGTCAGCAAGCTGCTAACCCAAGGGTACACTCCTGTGTTGTTGTGAGGAAAGGGGAGGGAAAGTCAGCAAAAGTTTTCCAAGCACTAGGACAAAGAGGTTTTGATGGTTTTCAGGTTATCTGGTGAATAAGCTGGTTAAAGGGACTATATAAAATGGAGGGGGCAGCTGGGAGAGCATGTGTAGTATTTTTCTTACTGTGATCTGAAGAGCTCACTAATATGCAACACCAGGAATACTGGCCAGTCCTGGGAAATCAAAATGCACCCTTCTTGTTGCCAAGGAGGTGATCCCTCGTTTCCCTCATGTGTTACGAAAACTGCCTTGGTGAGGGTCCTGGTGAGGAAGGGGAGCGCAGGGGTGTTTGGGGTGGAGACGGTTCACAGCTGTACTGTGAATTTGGTTGGACTGTCTGTGTACTCAGTAATTCTAGTAAATGGAGCTATCACCTATGCTATTATCAGAGAGCCTCTATGCTCTGAGGTTTTCTTGCCTCTGTCATCTTTCTTGTCATGCTATAAACAGTAGGATGCATCTCCTTTTCTAAAAGCCTTTTTCTCCCCATGATGGGAAATGGTGTGGGCGTTAGAGACTGGAGGGAGGAAGGAGGATGCTTTGGCCCTGGCACAGCATTCATCCCCTCTGCGAAGCTATGGGCAGGTTTAGGAAGCAGAAATGCATCTGCAAGTTTCCATGCTTGTGTTGTGGCTGGTACCAAGAGCGTGAGTTGGAGGAGCGGGAATTGTGCAAGTACTGTGTGTTCCTGGCTCTCCTTGCCTTTGTACTCATGCTGGTTTTGTCTTGCAGGCTAAGAATAAGGAAACCGGTGCTTTAGCAGCTGCCAAAGTCATTGAAACAAAGAGTGAAGATGAACTGGAGGATTACATGGTGGAGATTGAAATACTGGCGACCTGCGATCACCGGCACATCGTCAAGCTGCTGGGAGCGTTTTATTGGGATGGCAAGCTCTGGGTAAGAGGCTGTTGCTGTGTGCAATCTGTATAGCTGTGTGTTTCTCACTCTGCAGAGAAGAAATGGCTAATTTATGGCAAAGCAAAAGCTCTGGAGCAGCTTGAAGCATCAGTGTGAGTTGGAAGTGACTTACAAGCTGTGCTCTAATCACTGTGTGATCAGTGCTTGGATTTTCTCCACTTTCTTTGATGAACAAACTGTCTTCTAACTAAAGCTGCTTATTAATAGCCCAGGGAAGATCAAGATACTTCACTGTGAAGTGAAAACTGGAGTTGGATTTTTTTTTTTTCCCCGCTGTTTGGAGTTTGTAAAAGTAGAAAATGCAGCACTGATAAGGGCATCTCTTCCACCTCAGTCCCTCTTTTGAAAGATCAGATGGAAGGGTAACCCTGGTTTTTTGATTTGTGCCTCATATTTCTGGCTCAGCATCTGTAATACAGAGGCAACTGATAGCAAGAGCTCCGTTTCCCATGGCCGTGGAGGCACAGGGACATAAAATGCAATCCGGCGGGTTAATGCAACGGCTAGTTGTGCTGTGGCTGGAACAGCAGGTTCCTGCATCTCTTTCCCCTAGCCTGGCAGGTGTGTGTGTATATATATATATTCCCCCCCCCCCCCCCCCCCCTCCCTTTTTCTCTGTCA